ACTCTAAAAAAGACAGCTAAGAATATGGGTCAGGAAAGCTAGCAAAATCCTTTTCCTCCAGTCCTATGCCCCATTTACATGATTCCTCACAGCATGTTTTGTATTTATTCCAAGGTTACGGGAACCAAAGGGAATAGGCAATATTGATTAATGGTGTCTCAAGAGTTGGAAGAGTTCAGCTGGAACTGCACATTCTTTGGAGGGTGTTACCTTCTCAGAACAGCAGGTGCAAAAACCATCTCAGCTTTACATTCTTTTATTTCCTACTTTTCCTGATCATGTCTCTTTAATGCAGGAAGGAAAGTTTATTATTCATTATCTTGCACAGCCTGATAAGCTTCTCTCATGGAATCAGAGAAAGACTCAATCTCAGAGCACATTCAATCATCACCTCAAAGGGAAGGCAATCTAGAGAGACCTTAAACACCTCCCTCGACCGATGAAGCTGTAAGTCACACTGCATCACTGAAGCCTGATGTTGTGTTGCTTGTACACAACATATTTTCTGAGAAGAGGAATGATAAATTACAGATACAACAGGATATCCCAACTACCAAACCTGAATTTATAGCCTGTACTTCTCTTAGCTTGTCTAACTGTACCCCTTCTAATATCTCATGCCCATGTAACAGACATGTATTGGAGCTCCAGCCAGGTAACATCTGTAAGAACACAATCTCAGCTAGAAAATACAAGCATAACCCAGGAGACAGGCGCTTGACCTGCAGCACAGCTACCAGTCTCCCCACTCCCCCTGTTTTTGTCCTCTAACAAACCAGCTCTTACTCAGGTAAGTGCCTACCACTGTTAAGTTGACACATACCCACAACTAAGAAGAAAACATTTAACCTGATGTAACACTGTTGCTCAAATGAAAATTTCTAATTCTGGGTGTCTAAAGGTTCCTAAAACTGCATTTAGACATTTGATTTTAAAAGACAATGAATATACAGAGATTTTCCTGAAGTCAGTGGACAGTGCAGATGTTACCTCTGAAACCAGGCCATTTTTATTTAGCTGTTGAAACAAGATAATAGCAAAACAGTATCTTACTTTTAATTCCTCATATTCTGATGAATCTGAGCCACCACTTTATACCATTTCCTCCTCATTTTCCACAGATTTGTCCCATTTTCTCACATAACCCCAGAAGTTTTCTCAGCTTTTGCCTTAAGATCTCCTGAAATAACAGAGCTCAGGTGATTTCTGTTTTGTTGTTAGGACTTTATTCTCTGCCAGCCTTACAAGATTATGTCCACCTGACTTGGGGTTTCTATTAATTTAGCTATCTGCTCTCCCTTTTAGAGGCGGCTTGAGCCTCATCTTTGGTGCATGCATTGTCCCACTTTTCTTTAATCCAGTTGTTCTCTCTGCCTTTCTTCCCTTTTTGATTCCCAGCGCCATTTTATTCCCTGATGTCTAGGCAGCAGAAAAACAGCAGCAGTTCAAAGCAGGACAATGGACATCCACAGAGATAAACAGATCCCCTCCACCACCTCCTGGCAAAAAGGCCATTACTAGGGCAGAGGAGGGAGCGCAATCCTCTCACACTGTCTAGAGTCAGAGAGCCTCATAATCAGAAAACTCCAATATCAGAGAACCTGCCTCTCCACTACTTAAAAAAACCAACCACCACCACACTTCCTCCTAAGCCTACCAGGGAAACATACAAGCTACACAGAGAAAACAAAGCTGCACTATGTGGCAGATGAATGAAGACACATGCTACATGTTTCATCCAACATGCCACATGCCCACAATATCTAGTAACCAGTTTCATATTCAGCCCTATCAAAGCTGTCTCCTGAACCCACACACAGCCCTCCTGGCCAGCTAGCCACTGAATTTTTCAGCTGGAATATACTGTTGTTGTATGGAGACACCAGCAGAGAATAAATAATGCCCTTTTAGGCAATTAAAGTCCTGTAGAGGTTTTAAAAGCTGAGGCAGGCTTTGAATTGGTGGAGGAGCAATGAAGATTAAGCAGGATTGAGGGAAATGTGCTAATGGAAATTCTTTTGCAAAATTGATGGGCCACTGCCTTTTCTCTCTTCCTTGTTAGTGAGCTGCTCAGAAAGCAAAGGGCACGCACCACCAGTCGAGAAGGGGAGACAAAATCTAACATGAGGAATGATTAATGTACAGTCCTGCAACTCACAAGAGAAAAGAACAACCCTTTTATAGCTTCAGTAGGCTCTATTTTACAACATAATTTTAAAGCCCAGAAAAAAAAGGTCACGGATGGCTTGTTAAGAGAAGCAAACGCAGCACTGACAATTGTTCACTAATACATCTGTGATACCATCAACCCTCCAAGTGACAATGACCCTACTGATCTTGAAATCAAACTATTTAAACAAGCGTGAGGGCTTTTCTTATTTACATATAATACTAAACGAATCGTTATGGCTCTGTTTTCAGTACAGCAAGAGAAGACAACTCTACAGAGTATAGTGGCTTTTACTTTTAAAAATCACACAGTATCACAAGAAATCCAGTCTGTCAAACATTTGGACAGATGCAGTATATTTATTTTCTTTTAATGCCCATGTATATGTATCAAACATAGGAGCTCAGAGTCTACATACATATGTACTCATATATACATTCATAGCCACCAGTTTGTGGGAACATGCTTTTGTTCGCGATCTTATGAGGGTGCTTCTTCAAGTCAAACACGTTCTACTGACTGATTAATTGAAACCAAGAGATGCTACCTTTCAAAACACAGGATCACCACACAGCCTAAGCCAACAAAATGATGAAGCCTTTACTTATCACAGAACTGTAGAGGTCAGGATAATAGTGCAATGTATGTAGAGTGATTACAACCTCCCAGAGAATGTTTCTGCCTGAGATGAGTTAGTAGACACATCCTCAGATTAAACTTTCACCAGCAGATGTCTGTATTTCATCAATCTTTCATTATGGCATAGCTTAGAAAATCATCTGGTCAGGTGTCATTAGAAAACCTCTCCATCTTCCAAAGCAAAAACTACCCAAATAAATTACTATAAGCAAAACAGAGTTAAAAAGGAGGGCCTGCAGATTGGGATGGGGTTTTGTTAGCTCAAAATAGAGGAAAATACACATTTCTACAATATTTTAAAATTGATACACTGCCTTTCACAACAAATCCAATTATTATACATGCTCTCAGGCCAGAAGATGCAGCTAATCAACAAAATGTATGGGCAACAACTTCTGGCAGAGCTTCGTCCCAGAAACTCTGATTTCATCAGCTTCCTGGACAATTAATCTGTCCAAGCAACAATGTGATCCCCTCACTTTTCTCTGACGATGACAAACTCATGGAAAGATGCTTCTGTAATCAGTGAGTGGCTCTGGTGTTTCTCACCTCAGGACCAATACATAATCTTACCAGGATGAGCCCAAGGACTGCATGCTAATGCATACATGAAAAGGGATGCCATACAATTTCCAACTTAACAATACGGTTTTCTCAGCTTGGGTTCTGCAGTCACCATGGTTTTTTTTCTTGTGCATTACTACTTCTTCAGCAAATAGCTACATTGTTTATGCTACCCTTCAAAGCACATTTACTATACTGAACCTCTCTATGCCCAAAACACATTGTACATCTGGATTACTCAATAATAAATTCGTTCTGCGTGTCTTTTGGAGCTCCTGTTATTTATCATCGCATCCAGTCTGAGTTCAGTTACAAATAATGGCTAACTCTTTTCCTAGTCTTTCTTTTATTTTTTTAATGGGTCAATAAAGTTACATTTCAAAAACAGTAAGCTCCAGCCCTGACATACTGGACACAAAATTTCTGTAGAAGCACTTATGAAAATACTTGAGAAGGGCTAAGAACAGGAAAGCTCTGAAGTCAAACTTTTGATAAAAAAGTAGATTTTGGTAGAAGTGGCTAAGAATATTACTGGGCCAGCAAATGAAATATTAAGGCTGGTACTGATTGTGTGCTTATATATTAGACCTACAATAAACTATATATTAAACCTACAATAAACTATTTCTTCAGGTCTGAAATGGCATTTCCCGTCAAAAGTCAGAGACAAAAAAAAACCCCAGACCTTATTACTGCAAGTATCTCAATAATCAAGCAAAAACCACAGCAGCTCATTAACATTATTCAACTCTTACTACCCACGTATCAGGATGGGTACTGTCCAAAGAACGCATAATTAGTCAATTTGAATGGCAATGGTTTTGATGCATCAAAATGCTCAATAGGACAGGGAGATGGTTTGCTGTTCAGCTGTGTACCAGTCACCTTCACAACTCTGTTCCCACAGCAATGTTACATGACAAAGAAGGATGTTATCAAAAGAAGACGCTTCAGGAAGGAATGCTAAGGCAAGACTGCCTCCAGGACAGGAAGAATGTTAGTGTACACCCGTAGTCGCTCCCTGTGGCAAGGAGGAACTTCAGCTCACAGGCAGTCAGGTTTCAGGGACAAACAGTTGTCTGCACACCCTTCAGAACTGTTTTACATCAAGATCTTTAAGTAACAGTCGTGACTTTAAACCATTACTTTTCCCTCAATCTTAATTTTTTCTCTGTCAAATCAAATACCTCAAGAAAGTGGAAAACATGCATAAAGTCAAAATAGCACATTTAACTTGGACCAGCGGGAAGACATGTTTTCACATAGCCAGAAGAAACATACTACAGGGCATATTTAAACACATGGTTTCATATTTAAAAGTATTATATAAATCTGTAAAACAGAATAAAGTTGCATGCGCAGTTTTATGCACCTGAATGAATCAATCTGATAGGTTTGCTCAATACAGGCTTATCAAAACAGCATGTAAGTGGTACACTATGAAAAGCGTAAGATTAAAAAAAGTAATGCCAGTAAGCAAAAGGCAAATTTGCCCACCTCCTCATAACCCCTGGGACACAATTACTCAAAAAGAATAGGTTTGTATTTGCTCCAGGTGTATGTGTATTCTCTGTCAGCAGCCAGAAATAGCACCAAGCCAAGAGGGATAAGGAGAGTTAATACTCACCGGCCGTTGTCACGCCCCACACCCCAGACTCTGATGCTCACAATGGGCTGTGAATGAAGAACTGTGCGGTCCATGGGATCGATCAGGTTCAGCATGTCATTTTCCAGTATAAGGTACATGTCTTTGCCCTGCAACTCCAAAGTACAGTTACACATTACATCCCCCTCTCAAACTGAGATCAGTGTCTGTTATGCCTATGCTGTTTAGACTTGCTTCATTTACTCAAAGTTTCCATTCGTTCCAAGACCAATTGAAAACAAGTTCATTTACTTCTGGTGTTAAAAAGATGCAAAATGGTATCTTGCTACTGCTGTATTTTTAAATTATCCCAATCACAAAAACCTTTGACGTCTTTTAAATGCAACTGTTTAACTCATTCAACCCAAGTTATTCAACAAATTATGAGTTTATCCATTCTCCAGTAAATTTTTCCAAATGCATGAGAAGTCAAAAACTGTCTCAATAGTAACAGCTTACATCAAAACCTGTACTCTTGAGGCAGAGTTTCTTCCTTCAAACAATGTGCCTTGTTTCCATAAACTTTAACCAATGGGTCATGGGAACAGACAGCAATTTGTACATGTCAACGGATTTATAGAATACTCTTTGAAGAAACATTAATTAAAGGGGAAAACCCTAGCATTAAGACACAAATGTGAATTCTTCCAGTGATTGCAGAATCCCGGAGCCAGGATTTCTCCCCAAGTCTTCTGGCATGTAAGAGCAAGAAGAATGTTTTTCCCCTTAGAGGAAACTTTGGGGCAATTTAGGAAAGAGGAAACTTAGAGAAATTTAGGGGCAATTTTCCTTTTGATGCTAATTCACAAATGCTAATCTTCCTCCTATGCCTAGTATTTGAAGAAGGTCTGCTACCTCTTTTATCACATCTAATAGCTCTCTTCTCAAAGACTGTACACCTACTCTGCAGAACACAAAACCCCACAGAAATCATCTAGACCTACTGCTGAAAAGTAAGACAAGCTCCTATAGATAAGAAGGTGGAAGCTATCAGCTAAATATAGAGTAATCTATTTCCTCTCTATTGTGCCAGAATCTATAAACGAACGTGAAGAACAGAAGGGGTCTGACTTCCTACTGACAAATGTTTCAACAACAACCTTTTTCTTCACCTCAGTGACATAGAAACCCTCTTCCCGCTTGGTTACGGTGGCTCAGGTTTTAATGACATCTAATTTTGTGTCTAAGGCATACATTCACATCACCCTGGGAAGGCCTGCTTCCAGGGTTTCCAGGCTAGACAGCAAGTGGCAGTCACTACTGATCACCTCTCTCATCCCCAAATCTCCTAACAGGGATTCAAAGAGGAACAGTGACACAGAGCTGGCAGCGCAAGCGCCGAGAGGCAGTATGGGAGAGGCAGGGGATGTGGGCTGGTTATGCAATGCCAACACAAGAACATTTTGCCTGATGCAAAAAGTACAGCTGTTGCTGAGATGCAAGGCTGGATACATGGGCTGCTCCTAGAAAAGCCGAAACAGATGTAGCTGCTATAATGATGCACTGAAACGGGGTGAATCAGCAGCACTGAGATGCCTGTGGCATACAGAAAGAGAAACATAGGTGATAAAAAACAAAAGCCAGGATGACACCAGGAAGGCTAGGATGATGAAGGAAACCAAACAGAAAACAGTCATCACAAAGAAAAAGGGTGAGAAAATTGCTTGGAGAACAGAAGCAGTGAACAGATTGTGTGAAGAATGCTACCAAGTGTCACAAAGATTGCTTTTTGGACCCGTTTCTACTTATGTATTTGTTCCAGAAGGAAATTATTAAAATAAGGTAAAATCTGTTCATCATGCAAAATACACTGGGATTAGGGTAATAAAACTGAATACAATTTAGCTGGAAAAGATGGGAGAATAGGCAGATAAGCAACATTAATCATAGGAAATTATCCTTGCAATGCTTAAGGGATAACTTGGCTGCAGTCAGAAGCAATATGATTTACTAAGTTTTGTTGCCTTATTATACAAAGGCTATTTTAGAGATAAAAACACTGCATAGGGCAAGAAGAAATTATTCAGACAGAACAGGAGCCTGAACATGGGCCTCAGTGTTTCAGACTCCTGGAGAGCGGCAGAGACCTGATGGTCCACGATGGGGAAAAGGAAGAGCCACACTGAGAAAGTGAATAAAGGAATAAGGCTCAACTCCAATAGTCCTTCAGGGAAGTGTTATAAATTGTGGCATATAGGTCGATGGCAACAATGATCCTTTTTCATGGAAGTGAATTTGAAGTATACATGAATAGAATGCATGGCAAAGTAGCAACATAAACAGATGAGTTAAGTTTTTCTTCTTAGATTCTACTACAGCACCATGGAATATAGGAATTTACGGGGAATTTCCTGAATTTCATGAAACCCAAAATTAAAGCCAGTGACAAAGCTTTTGCAGCAGGTTCAGGATTTTACTTGGGGATGGTCCCAGCCCAAATTTCACTTTCATTACATTCTAGCTAAAATAAACCTTCAGCCAATCTTAAAAACTGTCTCTGCAGTCCTTGGTTCTAGCTTCATAATAGATTCCTGCTGTGCATGCTGCACCTGCTATGGCAGTGACAAGCACACTTTTTTCAGATTCCTCTCTAAAACATGTATTTTCCAATCACTCTTGAAGCATTACACTGCCAGCAGAAAAATGTGGTTGGTTGTAATGATTTCTTTTAAAAATCAAGAAGACAATTTACTTCAAGGGCCACATATTCAAGCACAGTGCCGCATTGTTCTGCCAGGCCTGTATTTTATATTTTTTAACGAACAGCATTCTTAATTAAAACTTCCATTCAAGAAGACCAAAACTTTTCACCAGTTTGGTTTGAAAACCTGTGAGGGTTTCCAACACAGAACAATGGGACTGACAGAGAGAAATATGGAAAAATGTGAACATTAACTCTTAAACCAAAACAAAGCACGCAATTTCAAGGTAAAAGATATCTTTCAAGTTGATCAAAGTCCTTCCAGCTGAAAAATGGATGAAAACCCAATGTACTCTACACACGTAAAGAGACTGGGGTTTTCTCAACCCAGGGTCAGCAGTAAGTCTATGTCCATGACTGACACATCTCTATAATCACTAGTCTAGCTGTACTAACTGAATAGAACTGTTCCCAGAAGGATAAAGAAGACCAATCTTATCTTATTCATTTACATGTACAATATGTATTTCTTACATAGAAAACCCCTTCTGAAATTACTTTAAACAGACATTCCAAATGTGTTCCTCAAAATACAGTTTTAATTTTTAAACAGGCACTTTCTCCCAGCTCCCCCTCTGAAGTGTCTCTGCACTGTTGTGGCTGTAACAGGACACTCACTCAAGCCTTGGACTGCAACAACAACTTGGGAAACTAAAGGATATTTCTCCTGAAATTTTTACTGAAATAGGTAAGTCTTTCTTTTAATTCCTCTTCTGTCTGGCAGTGATGTTTTCACTTAGATCACACAAGTGAAGCTTCCAACATTCACTCTTACATCACTCTGGCATTCAAACTGTGTGTAGTAAATCCACATTAGTCTAACCTCCTTAAAACATGTCAGGAGAGAGGCAGAGAATAAGATTTGGATGAAGCTTAAGTTGTTCCACGAACAATGAAATAATTATGCCTTTTTATGGATTTGTCTTCTATGTTCCCTATACATTCCACCACTATAACCCTACCTTTTCTTCTTGTTTCAATTACTGATCCCTCCACACCTTCCACTCCATCTATTTTAGACATCTATTTCTGACACCACAATACCTCAAGCTTCCTTCATCATGTTTCCCCCTGAGATCACACAGCATTATCCTGTCTTTCCTGCCAAATCAGAAAGAAGCACAGAGCTTGCGTGGTTCAGCTGATGAAGGTGCACTGACCCATCAGCAAAACAAGAGAAGAGCTGGGCTCTCTGTTTTTTCCTCAATGTGTGAGAATCTGGCATCCTTCAAAACTGGATGACACTGGTGAACAGATTCAAGAGTTACTGGAGAGGAACCAACAGACAGACTGATGACATGAAATTAACTTCCTCCTGAAAAACTGATAAAATAATCATCTTAAAATAAGGCATCTGTCCATCAGTCTCAGTCTTCACGTACATTTCAAAAGCACAGGGCACACCAATCTGGGTTTCCTTAAAGCCCTTTTGTCACTGAAACCTCTGAAAATGCTGTTCCAAAGCACCACTTTCAAACCTTCAGTCAGGAGAAAGACCTCCACTGATTTTGGCTTGTCTGAACCCAACACTGTAATTCCACAGGTGTATACCAGCACAGACAAAAACATGAAGGTGCGATCTTTGGGCTGCTGTCCTGATCAGTTTAGACTAAAAATGGCAGCACTTTTCTTGAGCTCTTTTTATGTTTCTTGGCAGTGCCAGCTGGGTTAGGGAAATCCCAAGCACACACCATGCACATATTTGCCTACACAGTTGTTCTTTCAAGACATTTTCTTACACGAGAGGGACGTTACAAGAGAAGTAGTTGACCCTGTTCTTACCTCTCCCCAAATGCCAACAGTGTCTCTGATGTCGTTTTTACAGTAAGAGAGCTGTCTGATGCAGTTGTTCACAGCAACACTGCTTCTTCCAGGAGCTAGATCTTCTTCTGCCATTTCCACCCAGCCCAGGGATCGCACAGCAAAGCACTGAAAAGAAACCAGAAAACATCTGAAGATGTACAGGACGCTGCTGTATCCATCTATGGAAATCAAGTCATGCAACAGAAACTACAGACAGCTAAGGTTAAAGATCCCCAGCTAGAAGAGAAACAAAATCAAGGCCTTGTAGATAAGGCCTTTACTTATGCTCAAGAATAAATAAATTAAAATATAATTTGAGAATGTCAAGGTGAAAACATTTGAAGGAACAAAGAAGAATACACGACTTGCCAGGAAAGATACCCATGGAGGTAACAGTAGTGATTTATAACAAAAATACTTTTGTTAATATAAAGGAGGAAACAAGTGAGCAGTAAATAGCATGTTATATATAAACACAGAGAAATAAAGGAAAAAGCATAACTACAGATATAGTAGAACTGAAATTTTAGCTAGTATCTAGAGCTGTACTTGAAAAGAAAGAAAATAGTAGTGGATTATGTCTGTTGTGGGATTCACACTCACTGCCTGGCTTTTAACCAGAAAACTGAAATTGTTTTGTGGACTGCAGTAATCATTTCTGCAGTAGTTTAATGAAGGTAGCAAGCAATAACAGACTCAAAGCACTAACAAAAAGATAAGCTATCATAAGAGGAAAGCAGTTTTTTTCTAGAAGAAATTAAAAATGATCTTTAGAATAAAACAACCTAATTATACAGTTTGTCAGCAGAAAGCTGTTTAGCCAACCAGACTACTTGGTTGGCAGAACAAGCCAAGGCAACATTACTTTGCACATACGGTGCTTTTTGCAAACAAAACTAAATGGGAGAAACGGAATGGCACCAACTCTACCCTACATTTACTAGAGAACAAAAAATTAATTCTGGAAAAAAACATGCACATTTGCTTTCAGGCTTTCTGATGGGTGACATACAGATCTCACACTAAGTGAATAGGAGCTTGTCTACAAGACCAAGATTTCCTCCAGAGAACAGTATGGTTATCTCACTCTCAAATGGCAATGCGCCAGCAGTGATGGATGCACAGCAGGCTGACTGCTGTACCTCCTTAATGGACACACCAAACATTTAAGATAGCTCCTAAAGGTTCAGCAATACTTCCTGAATGATACCAAATTCCTGCTATCTTCTAGGTGTTTACTATGGCAACAGACACCACCCTTGAGTGCTGCCAAATCAAATCACACCTGATCATCTTAAAATAAGGCCTCTGTCCATCAGTCTTAGTCTTCACTTTCAAAAGCACAGGCCACACCAACCTTGGTTTCCCTGTGACTCTGTGCTCGAGTCAGTGATTGCACCACCACTGACATGAAGCTGCACTCACTTTTTACATCCAGATCCTCTTTGCTAAGCATGAAGATGTCTACAGAGGTAGAGGAGTCGGCAGGCACAAGTTCCAAAAGTACAATTTGCAATTAATAACTGAAAACCTGTCATCCTATGACATCTCCTTTCATCCCAAGCCTCACCTTGCCAAGATGGATCAAGTATTGATGTCACTTACTTCTCAGTCCTTGGTACCCCTGCTTGCTTCAGTGTTATTCACACATTTCTTCTAAAACGTTACGCTGTCCTGGAATGCTATGCTCTTCTGGCAAACTGACTTGCAATTGTTTCAGTTAATCCAGTTCCCTGTTATGTATTTGTCACAACTTTGACCTTGCAAAGACCAACACTCATTGTTTGGCACTGTTGCCTTGTGCCACAGTGCTTTCTTTGCTGTCAAGAGCATCCTGCTGGTGCTTGGGAAAGCAGACAATGATCCTGGGAATTTCCTGAAGTTATGCTGAAACTGGTGGCTGCTGGGAGCCCCACTGCCTTCAGCAGGACCCTATCACATAGGCATCCAGTCCAGGAGCAGCAACAGCAGGTCCATGCTGGAGTTACCAATTAACTATTCTTCTTGAGATGGCAGTAAATATATCAGCTTCTGAGATCAAAAGCTGACACTGAATATTTGTTTGCTGCTTTCTAAAAACTGCTGTGAAGTCAGTGAGTAGATTAAGCTCACACACCACCACTGGAGTGCCATTTGGGAAACACTGTCCTCAAAACAAGACCCAAAACACCAAGGTATTTTAAATATGCATAATATGCCAACTTTGGCAAACTAAGGGAGGAATAAAATTCACCAGTGGGTAAAAAGATTAATGTGTCTCTCCCTCCTTCCCTCTAAAAATTCTCTCCTCTTTCAGCCTTCTTTCAGCTTGCACAATGCACCTATTCAGCCTACTTTGCCGAGCAAAAAATTCAGCCTAAGCCTGTCTCTTGTACCTCTGGGCACCTACTCCAAGTTGCTAATGATGTATCTCATCTAAGGCATCAGACAGCACATACACTCTACAAATTGTGTGAAACCCTGTGTGAGTGTGGGTAAGAAATGAAAGCCTCTCATGCCTCCAGATCTTTTTTTTTTTCTTCTTGTGGATGTGTTACTGATTTTTTTCCTTTGCTTTGCAAAGAAGGAAACCAATATTCAAATTCTCCTACATTGCTGCTTCCTGACCCAGCTCTTCTGGAACCCCACAAAAATGCTGACTTTCAGATTTTAAAGGGAGATGAAGGAGAAGGTGAAAGAGGAAACAAAGGAGAGTTCAGCACTCAGGGGAGTTCTTCACTTCAGGGCTACAAGAGGTACTAAAATATTTTTTTTTAGCAATTATTAAGGTCATTTAATCTCAAGATGGCAGAATTGCTTCTGGCACATTAAATGCTCGTGAGTCTTGTTGAAAGTGCTGTGATGCCCATTAGGGTATTAAATATTTATCTTTGCAAGCTTTTAAAACACAGATTTTTACCTGTGCCAGAAGAAAGAAGTTTTTTACAAGTATTTCAACATTAAACTGAGTAACAGCATACTACCAGAGAGAAACATTTTCTACATCATCTTAAAAGAGGTGAAGAACCAAATATATAAAGTGTACTGTTTCCTCACTATTCTTCATATCTCAACCATGTCTGCAATGTGTTAGCTGCTTTCTGAACACAAAGATACAATGAACAGAGTATATCTTAAGAAGGCAAAAACCTCATGAAAGACAATCAGTTTGAGTTGACAAGAGATAAATCTCTTATTAGTAAATATGATGAACTGTTTTGGTATTGTTTCCTGGCCATTTCTTTATATGTTTAAAATTACCCACTGTATTTCCTTCCCTTCCCAGCCCACTGTCATGACAGTGGAGCGAGTTGAATGGGATGCTTCTGTCCACCCCAATATTCGCCTCTTGTGAAGGGCTTGGTTTCCTTCCCTGCTTCCACTCTCTCTTGGCACTTCCAAGCCAGATAAGTGTGAGAAACCCTCTTGGCTTCTGGTACCCAGCAAACTTGTGCTTGTGTTTTACAAGCCCGTACTGTAAGCCAAATAAAGTGCTTCTGAACAGCTTCATCAAAACACAGAGATTTCCCAAAGACTCACTGAAAATAAAAAACCTCTTCAATAAAAGCCAGACAGACCCAACACCCCACTCATGAGACAACGCGTGTACCTGAGTATACACATACAAGATGCGTTCTTTCACTCAAAACATATGCAAAGACCCAAAACCTTCTACTTCTTGGTCAACTGAATACATGTGATGGCATGATTAACAAGTGATGAAGTCCTTCATGCATATTTCAGCTCCAGAAAATATGACTCAGAGTAACATGCAATACATACCACACATTCAGTATGAGTCTAACAGAAGTATTTACACACAGAGCTATGGGGTGGAAGAACAGTGGAAGTGTGTGCACAGAGCTCTGCAGCCCTCTGTATATTGCCAGGAACTGTACTACATGAGATCCACTTCACGTTTTATAGCTGGTGCATTTTTCCCCCCTAATTTGACTCAGAGGTTCTTTTTATAACAAAAGAGCGCAAAACCCAGCAGAAACAAACCACCTTGTATCTTTCATCAGGTATGATCCAATTCTTAAATAGGGCTAGCCGAATTAGCCACAACAGCAGAATTGCTTAATTCTCTCACCCACGAATCATCACTGTTCCCTGGCTCCCAGCACTGATATTTATTAGCCAAGAGACAAAGTGCTTCCTTTGACCTGAAAGAACTTTGCTCACTGAACCTTCTTTTCTGCTGGAACTAAAATCTAGTCAAAACAAGTGTCGTGGTTTAAGCCCAGCCGTAAATCAGAACCATGCAGTCTCTGTATCACTCCCCCACCCCGCTCCCAGAGGGATGGGGAGGAGAATCAAAAGAATGTAACTCCCACGGGTAGAGATAAGAACAGTCCAGTAACTAAGGTATAACACAACCAATAATAATAATGATAAGGGAAATAACAAGGGGAGAGAATACAACCACTCACCACCTGCCGACCAGTACCCAGCCCGACCCGAGCAGTGATCTAGCCCTTCCGGGTAACTGCCCCCAGTTTTACATCCTGGCCATGACGTGCTGTGGTATGGAATACCTCCTTGGTCAGTTTGGGTCAGGTGTTCTGACTCTGTTTCCTCCCGGCTTCCCCTCCTCCCTGGCAGAGCATGAGGCTCACAAAGTCCTTGGTCAGAGCAAACATTACTGAGCAGCAACTAAAAACATCGGTGTTATCAGCACTGTTCCCAGGCCAAAATTCAAAACCACAGCACTGCACCAGCTACTAGGAAGGAGAAAAATGACTGCTACTGCTGAACCCAGGACAGTATCCACCCCTTATTCCATGCCATTTATGTAAAGCTCAGATCCCACATTTTCAATACACCATCACTCTTATATATATATATCCAAAGAGAGAGAGAGAGAGAGGGAGAGAGAGAGAGAGAGAGATCATTCCTTAGTGCATGGATCAATCCCTATAAACCTGCTGAGTCCATCCAGTCCATGATGTCGGGCTCCATCTCTTGTAACAGTTTTTCAGTGCAGGAGAGGCTGTGTGCAGTGTTCACACACATGAATAAACTCAGCAACAGTGTCCATTGCTAAGTCCACCCCTCGATCATGAGTCCATCTATATGCTGCATCTCTGCCCTAATGGCCTGAAGTGTCACAGGCCCACCAGGCTCAAAATAATTCACCCTCCCCT